TACCTCATTTATTTAATGTTTCTTAATTTACTTAGATAATTTTTAAAACTTATTTTTTCTGATTTAGGATGCATGGGTCTTGTGCACGCTGTTTTTCTGATTTAGGATGCATTGCTCTAAGTTCATATAAGCAAGTTTGCAGGAGTCCCATAAGGCTGTTTCCTTATGATCATGCACCACCCCTGGCTCTTACAATCTTTCTGCCACCTCTTCCACAGTGGTCCCTAATCCTTGGGTTGGTAAGATTTAATACAGAAGTCCTTTCCAGGGACATACACTCTGCAGTCTTTTTTTTTTTTCCTACACTTTGGCCAGTTGTGGCCTTCTGTGTTCATTGCCCTCTATTGCATGAGGAAGCTTTGCTGATGAGAGTTGAGAGATGCACTAGTATTCTCTCTACACTCTTGTTCCACTATGTTTCATGAGCTTTAGGTGCAGTGGTTCCATTGTAGATGTCACTTACGGTTGGGCATCTCACAGACAATTATCCTCTGTGTGTGACCAGTTGTGACACTTCGCAATAGTCTCTGCACAGAACTGAGGAAATGCGCAGGAAGCCTCAATCTTAGCCAAGGATCTATTGACACCTGATCACTGCTGGATGAGGGAGAGTTGATCTTCTTTAAGGGTGATCTTCTTTAAAGGAGCAACACTAGTCTGAACAGGCTCCAGTGGGTGTATTCACACCAAAGGACATCTGGGTACACAAACTTAACTCAAAGGGCCTTAATATATATGACAGAATGCATGAAATCCTATGGGCAGGCTATGGGGATGTGTAGATAGGGGAGGATGCCCAATATGATTAAGTTGTATTAAATCAATAAAAATTCAATAAAACACTTAAAATTTTATTTTGGGGCTAGAGAGATGGCTCAGTGGTTAAAAGTATTGGTTGCTCTTGCAGAGGACCAGGATTCAATTCCCAACATCCACATGGCATCTAAAAACCATCCATAACTCCAGTTCCAGGGGAATTCAGTGCCCTCTTCTGATTTCCAAGGGCATTGCATGACATGGGTGCACTTACATATAGGCAGGCAATACACTCATTCACATAAAATAAAAATAAATAAATACACTTTTTATTAATTTATTTTTGTCTCATGTGTATGAGTGTTTTGCCTGCCTGTAAGTGTACCCATGTGTGTAATGCCTGCACAGGCCAGAAGAGGGCATCAGAATCCCTGGTACTGGAGTTAGGGAATGGTTGTGAGCTGCTATATGGGGGCTAGGAACTAAACCTGCAGTGATCTTAACCACTGTGCCATCTCATCAGTTGCTTTACTTAGACAATTCTTAACATCATTTTTTCCATTTTAATTTTCATGTGAACTTTTTCATTTATTAGCAGACTTTACTAATTTTAGGCACATTTCTATATTTTGTTTGGTGTGAGGTTGTTGCCATTACAGCAGTTTGTTGTTTCTTCTCTGAGTGTTACTGGGGATTAAGTCTTCAAGAGATAAAACGGGAAAAGATATCCAAACCGGCAGATATCCAAAACAACAAAAGAAACAGAAAACAGCAAGGCAACATGATTCTTCCACAAAATTTATCCCCTCAACGACTTCAAAGATGTTAAAATGGGTAAAGTGCTCTATGAAGACTTGAAAATTTTACTTATACAAAGCATCAGGGACCTAAAAGAGGATGCAGACAAGCAGATGAATGAAGTAAGGAAATGAGCCCAGGATCTGGAGAGCAAAGCCAGCAACAGATGAGAAAATCTATGAATTCTATGAATGAGAAAATCAGAAACATGGATGGAAGGTCAGAGAAATTCAGCAAGGAAACTGAGAGTTTGAAAAAAAAATAATGATAGGAGTGAAAAACTCAATGAATCTTATTTTAAAATATGGGAAAGCATTAGGAATAGACTAGACCAATAAAAAGAAAGGCTCTCTGGGATGGAGGACAAGGTCAAGAAAATGCCACATTCAAAAATCAATGTAGAAAAAGAAAAAAATGAGTATGACCTCAATTTCCAAGAACTTTGGGATAAGATCAAGAGAATCCCTGGGCTAAAAGAAGGTGCTGAGACAAAAACCAAAGGCATAGAAAATCCATCCAATAAAATCATTAAAAAAAATTCCAAATTTGGGGAAAGAAATGGACATCCAACACAAGAGTCATTTACAACTGCAACTAGGCATAAGCAGAGAACCCTTCCATGATGGCAACAGTGGGGCAAAAAAGAAACAACATTAAAATATGTAAGAGAAAAGTCAACTTACAAAGGCAAACATATCAGAATAATATTAAATCTCTTACCCCAAGCCCTAAAAACCAGGAAAACATGAAGTGATATATTTTAAGCCTTGAAGATAAATAATTGCCAACCAAGACTGATCATTATATACAGCTGTTATCTTTTAAAATTCATAGAGAAATAAGGACATTTCAAGGCAAGCACAAGCTAAAGCCATTTATGACCACTAAGCTATCAGTGCAGAAAACATTTAAAGAAGTCCCCAACATAAAGGAATAAAATCAAGAGAGCACAGGAAAAAAATAAATTTCAGATGAACAAAAGAGAACCAAGAATAAACCCATCATGTCCAAAGGTAAATCAGAAATCCCCTATTAGTAATAGGGGAACAGACAATAACAACTAACTAAGGGCAATAGAAAAGAACAGACAATAAATGACTAACCAGAAAAACAACTAACAAAATTACAAGAATTAGAAAACCTCTCTCAATAACAACTCTTAATGCAAATTATCTTAACGATTCAGTTAAAATACAAATTGTTTTAAACCCTCTGTTGTTTCCAAGAAAAACAGCTCACTAGCAAAGAGACTGAGGATGAAAACATGGAGTCAATCTATGAAGCAGGTGGAAACCAAAACAGCTAGCACAGCTATAAAGTAGGCTTCAAAATTCTCCATAAAGGATAAAGACCATTACATATTAATAAAGGGAACAATACATCAAGAAGATATAACTATTGCAAATATATGCATCAAATGTTGGGGCTTCCAGTTTCATAAAAGGAACACAAATGGACATAAAAGGATAGATAGGCCCTGATACAATAACAGTGTGTGACTTCTACATCTCACTCTCACCAATAGTTAGGTTATCCAGAATAAAAATCAGTAAAGAAACTTGAGAGTTAATCTTCACCATAGAGAAAATGGATGTAATAGACATTTAAGAATATTCCATCACAGCTGGAGATACATATTCTTCTCAGAAGTCTGTGGACCCTTATCTAAAATCGATCTCATTTTCAGTGAAAAAGCAAGTCATCACAAGTACAAAAGAATTGAAACAATTTGTTAGAGATCAATAACCAGAGAACTCACAGAAATTACATAAATACTTGGAGATTGGACAATACACTCTTTAAAAAATATTCTACTTTATAACTTTTTTGTTATGTGTATATTTGTGTGTATTCTGTGTGTGTGTGTGTGTGTGTGTGTGTGTGCACGCGCACACAGGTACCAGTGGAGGCCAGAAGAGAGCAACAATCCCCTTGAGCTGGAGTTAAGGTGATTGTGAGCCACCTGATATGGGAACATAACTGTGTGTGTGTGTGTGTGTGTGTGTGTGTGTGTGTGTGTGCACGTGCGCACAGGTACCAGCGGAGGCCAGAAGAGAGCAACAATCCCCTTGAGCTGGAGTTAGGGTGATTGTGAGCCACCTGATATGGGAACATAATTATTAATTCCATAAAGTTAAAAAAAGCATCCAAAACCAATCTAAAGCATTTGGATATATACATCCATGATAAGATAAAAATTACATAAAAGTATGGATGTTAATACCATAAAATTCAAGGCAGCAGGGTTGGAGAGGTGGCTCAGAAGGTAAGAGCCCTGGGCTGCTTTTGCAGAGGACCTGGTCTTTGTTCCTAGCACCCATATGGTGGCTAACAACCATCCATAACTCCAGTTCCAGGGTATTTGATGCTCTCTTTTGACCTCCATGGGCATTGCATGACATGGGTGCACTTACTTGCAGGCAATACACTCATATACATCAAATAAAAATAATAAATAAAATTTTAAAAATTCAAGGAAGCATTTACCTTGTGTGGATATGTGCAAATTAGTAATCTGTAAAAGGACAGAGTAGCCTGTTGGGGGTTTGGGAATATTCTGTATGTAGATGATGGTAATATGGGGGTTTATTTTATGATAATTCCTTGAATTTCTGTTTTCTATACATTTGTCATTTTTCATAATAAATGGAGATCTTGTTTAAGGTTAAAACCTCATTTAATTTTATGTCTTATAGGGTTTATACTGAGTACAATATTGTATAACTGTAATAATTCAACTGTAAACCTAAAAATTTACAGCCAATTTTGAAAGAGATGCATCTTAGCTCAGGAAATTGTTATTGAATATGTCAATGCTGTTGTAATGAAATGCTTTTCTTCTAAGTATGTGGTTAATAAATAAGTAATTTTAAAAAAAGTTGTAAGCAAATGGAAAATGTTAGCCCTGTGTTTAAAAGAATTCAACAGCATTATGACTTATTTCAAAGCCTTCACATGGTATGCATTGCTCTGGCCTTTGTTCATGGGGAACACTCTAGACACACTGATTTCCTTATAATTTCTCTATGATCCAACCACTTAATAAATCCTTTGACTCATTCTTCAGCAATAACCCCAACCTGCCTGCCTTTAGCTACCTTTACTGCCATAAACATGTTCTGAGCTAAAAATAGTTTTTTTTCATCTACCAAGAGTAGAGAATAAGACCTGTGAGGTGAGTTCATGGAACTGAAAAGCCGGGACACTGTGAGGATGATCTTTGTAGGTACTGAAATCACCAAGATGAGTACAGGTATAAGGATGTGGGAAAGGGTGAAGGAAGCTGGAGGAGTGTTATCCTGGAGATGGGTGGGTGAGATGACATTCAAACTTGGGTGCTGCTAGGAAGCACTACAGTGCACAAGAGCCAGTAATAATCAAGAGGACTCATAAAATTGAGACCAAGTTCAAATAAAATCCTAGGAATTATAATCAAGGATAGTCACCTTTCCTTTGAAATGTTCTGCAAGCAAACAGCCAAGCGTTGTTCTTCCTGAATACGGAGGCCCAAATATGAAGACTTTGCAAGGTGGTATTGGCATAGGTGGCAGAAGCCAGAGACGAGGATTCAGTGAAAATGTTTTTAGTGTTTCTTCCGAAGAAAGGCAGTACATTTTACCTAAAAAACTTAAAATATGACATGAGAATAAACAATCAAAAACATGTATGACAAGTTTTAAAATTAAGTTCTGAGAAGCTTGCTTACCTCACGGAAAAATCTGCTGCTCCTGAATAAATGTTGCCATCCTTTAAAGCTATGGGGCATGTGTGCCCCCATTTGCTTCTGTGCCATCGATACCGTGGTGCAATGAGTTTATAAGAAGAAAGAGTATGAAACAGGTCTTCCTGTCAACCACAAATGCTACACTTAAAAATGTGCACATAAGTTTTGCTGAAGTTAACACTATTAAATATTTCACTTTCTACATTTAAAAAAAATACTTATTTATTATTTTTATTTTATGCATACGAGTGCATTGCCTGCGTGTGTTTAAGTGTATCCATGTCATATAATGCCCATGGAGATCAGAGGAGGGCATTGGATCCTTGGAACTGGTATTACAGATGGTTGTTAGCTACCATGTGGGTGCTGGGAACTGAACCCGGGTCCTCTGCAAGAGCAGCCAGTGCTCTCACTACTGCTGAGCCATCTCTCCAGCCTCCTATATTTCACTTTTATATGGTAAATGTTTTACTATTTAAGAAATACTTTAGAATGTAAATTTTGGTGGTTTTGTTTTTTGTCAATTATAATGCTTTGTAGTTTTCATAGATTTAATAAGATTAGTTTTCACTTCTTTCCACATTTATTTCTCTCCTCTCCATGCGTGTGTACATGCGTGCGTGCGTGTGTGAGACTGAGGACAACTTGTGGGAATTGGCTCTCTCCTTCCACTAGATGGGTTGCAGTTCTTCGGGCTTGGTGGCAAGTGCCTTCATATGCTGAGCCATCTTGACAGCCCAATTTTAACTTCCTTAAGAAAATTTTATTTTTAAAATTTACTGAGCATTTTCTATCATGTGGTAAAATAAACATAAGAGAATTTTCCATCATCTACATCAAAAATCAGAATCTGAAAAATTCTTATTGAGAAACTTTAAAAATACATGTACCAGATTCTTATTTATTTATTTATTTATTTATTCATTCATTCATTTGTTTGTTTGTTTTAAGACAGGGTCTCATGTAGCTTAGGCTTGCATTAGAAGATGACCTTGAACTTCTGATCTTTCTGCCTCTACTTCCTGAATTCTGGAATTTCAGGTCTGTGCCATCACAGTTTATACAAGATTCTTAATCAATGTAACTAAGCTTTTTTAGGACTAAATAGCATTATATTAGATGTATATATCTATCCACTCACTGATACACACTGAGAGGTTTCTACCTTTTAGTTATTGCGATATGAAGTCTACAAGCATTTTCTTCCAAGCATCTGTTTACACTCCTGCTTTCAGTTCTTTGGGGAAAATACCTAAAAGCACTGTTGCTGGATCCTATAATAATTCATTGTTTGGCTTTTTGAGGAACCACTAAGCTACTTTAAACAGTAGATACATCATTTTATAGCCCAACAAGCAATGCAAGAGGGCTCTGATTTCTCCTCATGCTTGCTTTACTTCCTGCTCCTGCATAGCGCTATAATGTGTACAAGGCAGGGATTCCTTATATTTTAAATTGTCATTTCCCTATGATGCTGACCATCTTTTCTTGTTCTTAAGGGCTAATTATATATCTTCATGGGAGAAATGTCTACTCAAGTCCCTTGTCCACTTATGAATTTGTCTCTGCAATAGTAGAATTGGACATTAGTCCCTTGTTAACATATATAATTTGCAAATATTACCCTCCATTTATCTATTTTTCCTTTTGTCATGTGTACTTTGATGCCATATTTTGTTTTGTTTTGTTTTGTTCTGTTTTTATTAATTCTGGATCCCTACCACAGAGATTCTGTTTAAAATGGTCTGGGCTCTGCTATATTTAAAAAAGCATCCTGCCGGGCGTGATGGCACACACCTTTAATCCCAGCACTCAGGAGGCAGAGGCAGGCAGACCTCTGTGAGTTCAAGGCCAGCCTGGTCTACATAGCGAGTTCCAGGACAGCTGGGGCTAGACCCTGTCTCAAAAAAAAAAAGGCCAAAAAAAAAAAAAAAAGCATCCCATGTGATCCTACAGAGGCTCAGTGCTTTAAACATTCTGCTACAGTGATTCGGTATAAGTCACCTGCCTTCATTCAGCAGAAAAGCAACCATCTAGAGTCCTTCAAAACACACAAAAGTTTTCAAATCAAGCAATTTCAACCAAATGGCTTCCTACAGTCTGTCAAATATTAAATGTTCTTGGATTCAGTTGGGATTAGGACTCTGTTCTGGATCCTATTTAAAAAAAAACCAAAAACCTATTGTGGTGAACACATTCTCAACTCCTGGCCTTTTATCAAAGGGCAGCACAAACAAAAGCACTTGAAGCTATTTCCCCAGGCCCTGTCTGTGCTCAGCATTCTTCCTCTGCAGCACCAGTTCACAGATTGCCCCTACTGAGACCTCCAGATTACATAGTGTGGAATAGCTAAATGATCTCTGAAAATACTAGCTTATCTGAATTGTGCTATTGACTTATGGTTCTGCTGTTTAAAAATCTTCTCATACAGACAAAATTAAGCATCCCAGAATAGATCAAATCCTTCAATTAAAAACTCTTCTTGGTTTCTTTAGTGCTTAGTAGCTATCATACCATTTGATCATATCACATCCAAGTCCACGAGCAGGCTACAACAGGGATGAATGCATGCTTGTAAAGTTGGGATTTTTGTTTTGTTATTTATAGGGTACTATAAAAGTTTTTAAAGTGAACTTAGGTTTTTTTTTCTTTTCTTTTCAATTATCACTCTGGTTAACGGTTCAGACTTTACTCTTTGTGTTTGTCGATTTGAAATCTCTGTTTTGTTATAGTTAGCGCCAGAAAGAATATTGTGCTAAGATTTTAGATTCTCCCAGAAGAAGATACCTTTTACAGAGAACTACCCTTTAGACCATATTTTCAAGTAGGTTAATAGAACTTACAGTGTCTAGTAGGTCATTCATTTCTTCTGTACTCTGTAGCTTGGTTATAATAGCTGCTCTTCTTATATTCAGATAGTTCAGTCGTTCTAGAACTGTCTAAATTTAAAGAACAGATATTTGAATATATTGGCATTTGAATATCAAACATTCCAGAATAAACAATGGCTCATTGTTCAAGCCTGTACTTCCTCTAAGACTCTCAGTGGAATCCACAGTCTTTCCTGGCTTCTATTCTTTCTTGGCAATCTTTGTTTTTTTTTGGTTTTTTTTTTTTAGAATTTTAATTTATTATTACTGTTATTTTGAGTCTGGGTTTTATGTATCTCAGACTGGCCTCAAACTTGATATGTAGGTGGTGATTACCTTGAACTTTTGATTCTTCTGTCTCTACCTCTTGAGTGCTAGAATTGTAGGCATGTGCCATGCTCACTTTATGTAGTGCTAGGCAAGTGCTGTACTAATTGAGCCTCAAACCCCTCTGGTGTTTTTTGCTTGTATATGCATCACTCTAATCTACCTCTGTTGCCACATAGCAATCTTCCCCTTATCTGTCTTAGTCTGTGCTCCTAACTGAACTAAAAGACATTAAATATGACTTTATGCTAACTTGACTGAATATGCAAAGACTTTATATTCAAATAATGTCACATTAATGGATTGAAGTTAGAGTTCTGACATTTTTTAGGGGGCAAATTTCAACTCATGCTATCTGCCCCCTGGCCCAGGACCTCCCCAGGTAGAAGAAAGGGAACCCTGTGAAGACAGAGGCAGGTATTAGAGCTATGCTGCCATAATTTTGTGAGATGACTAGGACTGAAAAAGCTGGAAGAGGCAGAGCTGGATCCTCTCCTAGATGATCTAGATGGAGCACAGCCCTGCCAACACCATGACTTTGAAATGTTGCCTCCCAGAACTGTGAGAGAGTGTCTGTCCTTTTCAGCTACCCGATTTATGGAACTCTGTTTTGGTAAACCTAGGAAACTAATACAGAGACTATGTGGAAAATCAGAGGTAAAATGAGCTAGCACAAAAATGAGATGAGAGATGGTGATCCTGAGAGTGTGTGGTGAAGTTTGTGGTAGATGGATTATTTCTTCACAATTCCACCTTTTCCTGCTTCACTTGTTAACATCTGAGTTCATTTTGTGTAGAGTATACTTCCTTAGCCCTTTAATAATGAACTTCTCCAAGTGACTTGTTTTGGGGAATGGAATGTGGCCAGAAGCTCGAGAGTACCAGTTCCAAACAGGGCCCTGAACAAGCTTAACAAGTTTCAATCAGGCTTCTTGGAGCTTCTGTCCTCTGGAGAAGTATGTCCAGGTAGCAAAAAGCAGCAAAATTCTGGGTATAATTGGATCAAGTCTATTATGTTTGCTGATGGACTGGATGTGGATATCAGAAAAATACAGAACAGCAGTTGGAAGGATAGAGTGGAAACTTCCTGAAAAGAAAACAGAGGGTGGGTGATGGTGGTTATGGAGTGGTACCCTGCACATCCAAATCTGAGATTAACATTGGAAATCCTGTTGGGTATGTGGCTGTTGAATGGCAGCCGAGGGCAGCGGAGTGCATCAGCATAGAATTTGGGGGAAAGATCTGGGACAGCACAAAGAATTTATGGAGGATATTCAAAGCCATAAGATTGAATGAACCCTTCTAAGGGGTAAGGGACTGGCATGTAGAAGAGCTCACAGGAGTGGGCTCTGCTGTTCTCCAGTCTTAGACTGTGTGGCAGGGCTCCCAGAGACCAAGATCAGAAGAGAGCAGGAAGGAGAAGTGTTCAGTCATGTCAAATGTTGCTTTAGATTAAATAAGGCGAAGACTAAAAATGACTGCTGGCTTTGGTCAAGAGGAGAGTCCTGCAGTCTTGGAGAGTGCATGTCTACAGTGAGGAGCTTCTCTTGATCTGGCTCCACCACTCACATCATTATCATGTCGATAATGAGGTAAGTCAGAAGCCTAGCCATCATCTTCCACTCTTTTCTGCCCACTAATTCCCTTGTTAAGGTACTCACCTAGTCCTGCCATGTACATTTCTGGTCTTTTTTATATCTGTCCTCTTCTGCCCATTCCCACTGTTACCAGCACAGGTTCGGACACCATCTTCTGCTGGACTGACTAGGACAGCGATCCTACCACCAGTTTGAATCTCCTCCACTTTTCCTTATATTGCGGTTTGAGTGATTTTTCTTCACTTCCTGACTTCAGATTTCTCACGGACTGCCTGCTCCCTCATGATGAAGTCTGAAGTCTTTAGCATGATTCTTGGGTCCTTGCTGCAGTCTCTGCTCAGTTCTTGAGTCCTGGCACTATTCTAGTCTTTCTTATTCATATCCTCCTCCCCATGTTTCAGTCAAGTTCAGTTCCTCCACTTGCTCTGTTTGTTCTTTCTTGCCTCTGGGGCATTTGCACAGACTCTTCCCCCCAGCAGAGGATTTCCTACCCAGTCTCTCTCCTCTAGCCTTCAAGGTCTAATTCTTACTTACCCTCTTGGTGAAATTTCACACAGATGCCCCTCCTACTGGACAAGTGTTGTTCTTCTGTCATGTGCTCCTATAATATCTTGTACTTCTGTGACACAGACTACCATGTAAATATTTATTCTCCTCAATTTACTGGATACTATATTAGGAGAGAGACTCACAGACTCATCTGCTTTCTTCCCATCTGTATCCCTGGAGCTTATCATTGTGCCAGGTACTTATTAGAGAGTGAAGAAGCAGTCAATGCATTTTTGTATTAACCCTAGGGTCTCATGCATGACTATATAACATATATACTGCTGTCAAAGTAGTTGTAAAGTACATTCCAATTTTAATTTGCACCTCCTTAGTGACTAGTGAAGTTAAGCATCTTATCAGGTGCTTATTACTTGACATTCGCTTTCACTTTTCTTTGAATTTTTTGTCAAAGAAAATTTAAACATAGTTTTGCTTTAAATATGAACAGAGGAATAAATATAGAGTGTTAAGACAAATTAATAGTACTAAAATATTTTTCTGTTTGTGAAAATTAGTACAACAGCGTTTAAAGTTTCAGAATTTTTCAGCTGTAAGATCCTCATGAAGCACACTGCACTTACTGCAAAGAGCTCCTCTGGGGTCTTATTCCCATCTAGCTCAATGAGATACTGGGGACTGTGTTCAGCCATCAGCTCCTGTGGATAACAGGAAAGAAATGTGATAGTCTAAGATCCTGGGGAAAGCAGAGAATGTGTGTAACTTTTGGTACTCAAGGATCTTTTGCAAAAGCCCAAACTGGCCTTCTTACCACGCAGTTTGTTTGAGGTGCTGGGGATTGAATGCAGGGTTTTGCACAGACTAGGCTGCAAATTGTTCCGTCACTGAGCTGCAGCCCCAGGTCCTCACCATGAATGCTACTGTGTTTTGTTCTCATTTTTTTTTTCATTTTTTTTCTGTACACTAAAGTCTACAAAATGTTTCAGGGCATTTTCATAGCATGTATCTGCAGCTTTGCTATCTGGTTTTGAAACTGCAGGAGAAGCTGACTGAAATTTGTCTTTTATTTTTTATGTGTATGAGTGTACTGCCTGCATGTATGTAAGTGCACCAGTATTGTGCAGTGCCCTCAAAAGTCAGAAGAAGATGTCAGATCCTCTGGAACTGCAGTTATGGATGGTTGCTAGCCACCGTGTGAGTGCTGGGAATCAAACCCAGGTCTTCTGCAAGAGCAGTCAGTGTTCTTAACCACTAAGTCATCTCTTCAGCCCCATATTTTATCATTTTAGAGTACATTTTTCTTATATAAAATATATAAAACACACACAAAAAGAACACAAAGAACAGTATCTCCTACCACCTAAAAGAAGCTAGTACTATTCCTACTGTTTTTCAACCAAAAAATTTTGCATATTTGAGATCTATCCTAATTAGCTTTCTATTGCTGTGATTAAACACTGACCAAAATGAGCTTGGAAAGGAAAGGGTTTATTTGGCTTACAGCTCACAGTCCATTATCAAGGGAAGTCAAGGCAGGAATGGAGGACAGGAACTTGGTGCACAGACCATGGAGGAAAGGTAGTTACTGGCTTGCTCCCCTGGCCCATACTCAGCCTGCTTTCTTATCTAACACAGGACCACCTGCCCAGGGGTGGCACACACCACAGTGGGTACACACTCACATGCAACAATCAGGAAAACACCCCACAGACATGGCCACAGGCCAAGTCAATGGAGTTAATTCCTCAATTGAGGTTCTTTCCAACCAGGTATGTCAAATTAACAACTGAAGCTTCCAGCACAATTGACACACAATTTGACACACAAACATACTAAACCACAACCTTTCCATTTCTTTTCAAAATATTTTATTTATTATTTTTATTTTATATGTATCAGTGTATTGCCTGCATATGTGTAAGTGTTTGCAGAAGACAGAAGAGGATGTCGGATCTCCTGGAACTGGAGTTTCAGACCAATGTTAGCTGCCATGTGGGTGCTGGGAATCAAATCTGGGTCCTCTGCAAGAGCAGCCAGTGCTCTTAACCACTGAGCCATCTCTCCAGCCCCAACCTTTCCATTTCTTATCCTAACATTTCATGTTAATGTTAATGTTACAACATAAAACAGAACAACTTCAAAATTCCCATCATCCTTAAAATTTCAAGCACTTTAAAAGCTCAATTTCTCCTTAAAATAATCCAAAGTCTCTCAACTGTGGGCTCCTGTAAACCCAAAATAAGTTACATATCTTATTTCAAAAGGGAAGAACCAGGGCATACTTAAACAAAACCAAAGTCCAGCAATGTAGTTCAATCTTGGATATCTGGGATTTATGCATGATCTTCTGGGCTCCAACAGGCTTGAGACACTCCACTTCTCTGGCTTTGGCATCCACAGCACACAGTTTGCCTCAAAGGCTGAGGCCAGCTCTACTCCATACCTGCTGCTGCCCTTGGTGATTGTCCTATGGTTCTGGCATCTCTACTATGCTGGGGTTTCATCTGCAACTGAGGCTACACCTTCACCAATGGCCTCTCCTGGCCTCTCAGGGTGCCAGGCCTCAGATTCTCTTAACTACCCCTTCATGCTCTCAATACTAGAGCCACACTCTTACACATTGCCAAATTCTGCTACCAGTTTGATGTGTAGCCTTTGCCCCCTCTGAACTACAGCTTCTGTGTGCTGACCCTGAAGAAGTATTTCCCGGATTTCACCACAATGATGCTGGTCTCATGTTACTCACAGCTGATTTTTCAGCCTCAGTTAACCAGCACTGATTATCCCAGTAAAGCACAAAAGGTTTTACTTCCAAAAATTCTTAATCCAAAATAGATCCCACAAACAGCCCAGATTGAGTCTTTGCTTCCCTTCGAAGCATCACAAGTCAAGCCTCCACTGCCTGCATCTCTCTCAGTATTATCTCCCAGGTTCCTACAGACAGTTCACTGAGCACCAAGTACTTTTCTACTGTAAAGCGCCAAAAACTTCCACAATCCTCCCAGACACACAGGGGTAGGTCAAGTTCATCACAGCAATAGCCCACTCTCTGGTACCAATTTCTGTCCTACTTACTTTCTATTGCTGTGATAAAACCAACTTGAGGAGGAAAGTGTTATTTGATTTACAGCTCACAGCTCATCATCAAGGGACACCAAGGCAGGGAATTCAGGTCAGGAACCTGGAGCACAGACCATGGAGGAATGTTGTTCACTGGCTTGCTTCTCTGGCCCATGCTCAGTCTACTTTCTTTTTTTTTTTTTTAAATTATTTTATTATTTTTATTTTGTGTGTATGAGTGTATTGCCTGCATGTATGTAAATGTACCTGTGTTGTGCAATGCCCTCAGAGGTCAGAAGACAGTGTCAGGATTCCCCCTGGAACTGGAGTTACAGACAGTTGTTAGTTGCCATGTAGGTGTCGGGAATTTAATCTGGGTCCTCTGCAAGAGCAGCCAGTGCTTTTAACCACTGAGCCATCTCTCCAGCCCCTCAGCCTGCTTTCTTCACAGGGACTACCTGCCCAGGGGTGACACTGCCCACAGTTGGACAGGCCTTCCCATATCACTCAAAAATTAAGAAAATGCCCCACAGACATGGCCACAGGCCTATCCAATGGAGGAAATTCCTCAAAAGAGGTTCCTTCTACCCAGGTGTGTTGACAACTATTCAGCACATGATTATAACACATATGAAACTCTGCATCCCATTTTCCCACTAAACATTATAACTGACTTTACCCTATACTTTTACAAGATCACTATCAATATTACATTTAATGGTTTTATAGGATTATGTACTATGGCTATAGTACAACTTATTTATTGCCCCTTTGATATTTCATACTTAGGTAGGTTACAGCATTTTTTGTTAGTTGTTTTAAAGCATTTCTTACTATTTTTTAAGTTAAAAAGTACACTCTTCTTCAATAATTACAAAAGTAGGGACTAAAAGCAAACATCGAGGGAATACACATAAGCACACTCCATCTTCTAGCCAAGATCCCCTTTCTTCCCACTCTGTCCACTGACATAAATATTGCACACACATACATGGCGTCTAATGCCACCTAATAAACACATTTTTACTATGTCCTTATAGTGGGATATATATACATATATTTATATATTTATATATTTAACACAGGCTAGATCTCTAAAGTGGGTTTCTTTTTGAGACAAGGTCTCCCTGCAGCCCCAGCTGTCCTGGAACTCACTATGTAGACCAGGCTGGCCTTGAACTCACAGAGATCCACCTACCTCTGCCTCCTAAGTGCTGGGATTAAAGGCGTGTGCCACCATGCCTGGCTTAAAGTGGGTTTTGATGGTAGTAAGTATTAGCCATTGATTTTCCAGAAAGTTGTATGATTAAAAAGTCTCAGGAGCAATGCATGAGAACATTCATTCCTTCCTGCCCCTGTTGGCTATTACAGTTTTTATACTCTACCAAACAGAGTTGAAAAGTAGGACCCAAATTTCCTTTTCATTTAGCTGAGGAGATCCACATGCAGATTCCCATCTCTGCAAACTGCCTGATCATGACTTCTATGCATTTTCCTATCATATTGCTTATTTTCTCCAGCATTCATGAGATTTCTTTAAACCCTGCCTACCATAGTGATTATAAATACTTTATCTTTTGCCTTTATGATGCCTTCTACAATATATAAATAT